CCTGCGGCTATTCTCCATCAATGATAAAGTTTACTAATCACCGATTGGATGGATTTTTATGGATCCATTTTTGTCATATTCCAAATGGGTACAATCAAAGATTTCAAGCGATTTTTTTGAAATACCATTTTTTTGGATTTTGAAGGCTACGTATCCAAAGGGGTAACATCATAGATTTCGCGCGATTTTTTCAAAATACTAATTTCTTTGGATTTTGAAGGCTACATAAAACATTTTCGACCATAGGCTATTCTCCAATGATTATAAAAATCTATTAATCGCCAATTTGAGCGGATTTTCTCGGATGGCATTTTTAATAATTTTTTTAGTGAATTTTTTAAATGCATTTTCCTTAGATTTTGAAGGCTAGAGATCACAGATACTATATGAGGCTATTCTTCATTGTGGTTAAGTCTATTAAGCACCGATTTGGGCGAATTTTTTCTTTGGCCACTTTTTGCAGATTCCAAAGGATTACCATTATAGATTTCAAGCTTTTTTTTTTGAAAGATCATTTTCCTTGGATTTTGAAGGCTACAGATTACAGATTCGGCACAGGGCTATTCTTCACTGATGATAAAGTATATTAGTCGCCGACTTGGGCGAATAAGTTTCGGAGGGCAATTTCATAAATTTTTGGCATTTTTTTTTGAAATGATATTTTACTTGTATTTTGAAATCTACAAATCACATATTCGGCTTGAGACAATTCTTCTCCGTTGATTAAGTATATTAAGCATCGATTTGTGTGAATATTTTTGGCAAATTCCAAAGGGGTACCATCACATATTTTAGACAATTTTCTCTAAAGGCCATTTTCCTTTGATTTTGAATCTATTGATCACGGATTTGGCCTGATGTTATTCCCTACCGTTGATTAAGTTTATTAAACATCGATTTGGATGGATTTTCTTGGGCCATTTTTGGCAGATTGCAAAGGGGTACCATCACAGATTTCAGGTGATTTTTTCGAAATACCATTTTCTTTGGATTTTGAAAGCTATAGATCATGAATTTTGCTTGAGACTATTCTCCATCAATGATAAACTCTACTAGTCAGTGATTTGGGCGGATAATTTTCGGAGGGTATTTTCATAAAATTTGGGAAATTTTTACGGAATACCATTTTCCTTGTATTAAGCCTGAGTCGGAGGGTGTTCTTCACCGTTGATTAAGACTATTAAGAACAAATTTGGATGAATACTTTCCGGGGCTGTATTTAGCAGATTTCAAAGGGTACCATCACAGATTTCGGTCAATTTTTTCGAAAGACAATTTTACTTAGAATTTAAAGACCATTAATTTGCGTTGCCCTCCAAATGATAGCTAGGAGCACCTTATGCTCTTCTGGTGTTTCCTATATTTTAAAGAACTTTTCCACATGTGTGAACCTTCCAAATGGATCCTCACTCGTGGTATTTCGAAAATTCCGCGCATATTCCTTTTATCTGATTTGGACCATGATGCCTTGGGCTATTAATAAAATCCAAAAAGTTCTATAAAAATCATGAATAATATAGATTGATTTATGAAAATTATGTTAACCATTTGTTTCATTATTATTATTACTAGCTTATAACCCGGCCCGTTGGCCGGAATATTCATATTTGATTTTTTATATTTTTCTGTTACGTTTAAGTCTATCAACCCTTTTAATTTTATTGACAATCCTTCGGTCAAGATGATACATAAAGAAAAAAATCTATAGATCGAACATTTGGAGAAATATAAAAATGTATAATTGATCTCATTTTTATAATGATAATTAAGTCCCCGGTAAAATGTTATTGGTTAGTTTTGATTGTCAAGAAAGATAGAGTATAAAAGCTCACTGAAATTCCCTCACGAACCATAGATAATTTGAAACTAAATCTTAAACCTCGCAATCCTACACAAAGGTTCAATGCTCTCCTTTTAGGAACAATATGCCACTAATAAAAAAAATGGAAAGTTGTTGATTCAAGTCAACTAAGCTAAGAGGGGACCATCACAACTTGAGAGCAAACGCCAAAATTAGGGTTACCTCCAATATACTAATAGACTCGATCAAAGTAAGAAGGAACAAAATTAGATACTCCTTTTCTATCAGTTCCAGTAGGTTGAATAAAGAATCGGCTAGCCTACTTTAGTAAATCAATCGATGATTCCTCATTTTAAGATAAAATTAGGTTGCAATAGCTTCAAAAACCATAAACCTAAAGATCCAATAGCAACCACTCTCCGTTGTACAATAAAATTTTTATCCGTTCTATCTTCAATCTCAAGAGGCGTATGTTTCAACAAAAAATTCAATATTCAGTCCTCCTTCTGCACCTCCATTCATTGAACTCCATTCTATTCACCATGGATTGATATCAGAGTTGAAATCTTTAACTTGCCCAGTTTAAATCCTCAAGAATAAAATCGTAGTGCCAAGAGACCGGAAGATTGATTTTCAAAGGCGGCCTTGTACTATGAAGTGAAAGGGGCGCAAATTGCACGATGGAGGAAATTTCAAAGGAAGTTAGAAATAGATAAGAACAAAGATAAAAAAGAACAAGTTTTCATATAAATTGAAAAATGCATTGACACAACACGTAGTAATATAATTAGTTTCTTCCATGTTGGCCAATTACCAATCTACCTTTAGCAAAATTTAAGGAGAGAGTGTGTGATTTTAGAATTGAGAAACTACATGAAACTCTGCTATGAAAATTGCAGTATCAATACCATAAAAATACATACGGTAGACTTAGTGGGTTGGCTAATCATGATGAAAAAGTCTTCTGATTTTCAGAGTGTCACTTCGTGTATGTTTTGTATTAAAAAAGATACAAAAATTTGCTTAGTGTAATTGGTTGCGATTGTTGTCTTTATTTGAAGAGACTTAGGTTCAAATCCTGATATTGACATTTTTTATATGAATTAATTAAGTAATAGTAAAGACAAAAATACCCTCCCTACTTTTATTTTCAGGAAATTTAAAATAGAGAAAAGTAGACAAAACTCTACTATATATTATTGGAGGATTATTTTCGGGCGAGAATAGTTATCAATCTTACTTTACGGCACTCCTTAATTCAGTAGAATCCGGATTTTGACGTTATTGTACTACTTTTCGCAAATCCCCGATGCCGTTGGCCACTGACGGACAAGTTGATTGCTGGCGTCATCGCCAACCGGTGGCCGGTCGTTGCTGGCAGCAACGCGTCTAACCTAAACTACCTCTGAAAGAATCCCGGCTTCGTTATTACCCGTCAACAATTCACCGCCGACGGTGAGTGCAGTAGTTTGATTGTAGTGTAGAGCCACCGTCAGCTGCGGTGGTCGGTCGTCTTTGCTAGCAGGGCCCACGTGGCCGGTGGCTGAGTTTATGGGGCCCCCAAATATGACTTTCCGTTGTGATCACCATTTTGCATGGTATTGCCATACTCTAACGTCTCGCGTGGTGCTCATGCACGTGTCCTCCATGCAAAATAAAGCGCGACAGGTAGACAAACCTACCTGAATTTAATCACAAAGCAACGGTTAGAACTTAGAACTAAAAAAGACAAGAAAGAAATCTTCTGTGCTCTGCATGTAGGAAGAAAGAACAAGAGGGAAAAAGGAGCAATTGCTATAAATTGAGATTTGAGTTTCAGGGCAGTTTTTATTATGCAATTGCTTCTAAAGAATGAATTATTATACCGTTTTGCTGGTCTCTTTTTGGTGGCTAACCGTAAAATAATTAGAAAAAAATCATATAATTATTGCTCATTCAATTTTGATATTTTAAGCTTTCACAAATTATTTTTTGGAAAAATGTGGATGATAAAGCTGTTCATTATCCCTGTGTTTCTTAAGGAGGGAAAAGGGAGGGAGGGAAAAAGGAGGATGGAAAGCACAAAAATCGATGTTTTTCCCCTGTTTGCGAGATGGAAGGAAAGCAGGGAGGGAGGGAAAATGCAAAGAAAATGTACTGTACAACCAATCCTCCCAAATTGGAGAGAAAATTATATTCCTCTCTGCGTGGCCCACTTCCCCTCTCTTTTCTTTGTTTCTTTAATTTATTAGTTATTCTACTTTCTTTTCTCTTTTTTGTTCTTCTTTCTTGTTTTTGATTTGTTGAAATTTTTATGATAAATGATTAACTTTGATGTCTAATAATAGAAAAATTGTATAAAAAAATACTAGCCAAGATATACATAATGAAAATGAGGAGACTAAATACATTAATCTTTAATTATGAACGTAACACAAAATTGTTTTACATCACGCATAATGTAGTTTCATATCACACATTAATAAGCAAGAAACTACAAATTTAATTCACAATTCATAAGCAGTGAAAATAATATCAAAATAAACTTAAACTATTTTACTATTATATACCCAATAAAATAACATAGCCATCACACTTCCCAATACACATTTTCCTTTCCACTTTCCTTCACCTCCAAATTGTCCCTCCCCTCCTAATTCCCTTCCCCTCCCCTCCATTTTCCTCCCTTCCTTCGGAAACAGGGGGATAATAAGTTCTTAATCACTACGTATTTTAAATGAAAGTCAACTAATGAATTCGAAATTTATATATGTATATCATATAATATGTTTTAATATACCAATTAATACTAGTACCGTGAGAATTTGAACACATTATCTCAAAGATAAACTAGCTCCGATCTCCTGTTATAAATCATATGGTCTCAATAAATCGAGTTCGAATTATTATAAGATACCTAAGAAAAAATATTACTTACACAATTGCCAAAGAAGAAAAGTACCCCAAATGTATTAATCTTAAGACTGTATTATATATTGTATATCATTACAAAAGTACCTCAAATGTCGACACAACACAACACACAAACGCATTAACCCTCTCCACGTACGTTGAAAGTACCAAAGAAAACACAGAAAGGTAAAAAGACTCCATTACGTTATCCTAACCCTTTCTAAGTTTAGGGTTTCCACTTGCCCTCTCACAAAACTTAAGGGCATCATTATTATTATTATTATCAACCGACAACCATCCAACATTATCAGCAGCTCATGATAGCACAATTGTACACAAACGTCCCTGCCTGTCTCCCGGCAATCACCTCCCACCGCGGCGGCACCGCACTCCCACCACCACAACCCCCCTCCTCCGCCACCGCCGGCGGCGGAACCCACGAGTGTATCTCCACAACCCCAATCCCTCCTCTCGGCCCGCCGATCACCACCAGCCTCTCCCCAACACCCTTAAACGCCATCCCCCACCCGCCCGTACACGCCACCGTCGCCGGCAGCTTCCCGACGCTCACCCACGCGTTCCTCCCCTTCACGTACCTCCACAGCTCCATCTTCTTCTTGTCCGCCACCTCCGCCGCGTACAGCTCGTCACCCACCACCGCGCACAGCGGCGGGCAGCCGTACGGCCCGCACGACGGCGGGCACATGTCCGGGACCACCTCCCACGTCATGGTCCTCGGGTCGTACACCTCGGCTGACGTCAGGGGGACCCTGTCCGGGCCGTACCCGCCCATGACGTGGAACTTGCCGTCCATCATCACCCCGCAGCACTTCTTCCGCGGGGTCTTCAGCCCGCCGCCGGGGAGCGGTGTCCACGTGGCGGTGTCTGAGTTGTAGAGCTCCGCGGAGGTGAGGATCTCGCCCTTGATGGTGACGCCACCGGCGACGTAGGCGAGGGAGCCAGCGCTGGCCGAGGCGAATAGGCACCGCCGGGTGTTCATCGGTGGATTATCTGTCAATTAAGAAACGTAGGACTGTAGGAGTTAAAACATAACTATAATGAATATATGAATGATTCGTTCGGATGCCACATAATGAATTCCTGACTCTAAAAAAATAAGCGGGTTTGTGATTTAAAAAGCTGAAGTTGTTTTCTAAGAACTAAGTTGTTTTCTAAGAACAAGTTGATCCAATAAGTTGAGTTGTTGAAAAAAGTTCAATAATGAATGATATACCATTTACTAACATATCCACTAAAATGAAAATCATTCATATATGCTTGAAGTTTGTTTGCGCAGGTTCGGACACCATGTGCTTAACTTAACATATTGGGGTTATCGGGATTCAAATAGAAGACCTTTCAGTCACAAACGACTCTCATTTCATGTCAAGAACCATTTAATTCCAATAACACGAGTTATTGGGAACAACTGGTTCTTGATATAGTAGTACCAAAAGCAGAAGCTTTGATTTGAAAAATCTACGCAAAATTATTTTAAAATACAAGATTATCATTGCCATTTTTTTACTTTTGTTCCCATACCACATATTTTTCTTTCATTGATTTTACGAGTGTTGAAACGATCGAACCACAATTTCAATATAAAATACTCTACTTGCTGACTTTACTAATACACCTCTAATACAGTTTTACCGTTAAAATTCACTTCTAATAATTTATCAACCAAACACTCGTGTAAAAAAATACTTCTCTAAATACTGGTTTTGCAAAAGCAACCAATCTAGCCCGATCAAACGTGAAACTTAAGCTAGCTAATAAGTAAAAAAAAAAAAAAATACTTGTCAATTTACTGATATCTCGACATTACCGGTGGTCCATTGGTTGGTGTCAAGCCTGTACTTGTAAATAGCCATGTCCTCCATTTCCCGGCCGACGACCAACAGCTCCGTCCCGACGGCGAGGGATTCCTTGTCGGAGTGCATGAAGACGGGGTCGGCCGGCATCTTGGGGACGTTGAACCACCGGCGGGTGGCCGGATCGAAGGCCTCCCACCGCATGAGGTTGCAGGACATGTACACCCAGGGCTCCGCGATTCCAGCGATCCGCCGCTGCCGGTAGAGCTCGCCGCCGCGGATCAACGAGCGGAAGGACTTGTTCAGGGCGGCGACCTTGTCGTGGTCGGCTCGCCGACAGCGGACGAGGCAGCTGATGGATAGGTCTCGGCCCAGTGGGGCGATCAGGGAGTCGGAGTCGGAGTCGTCGTCGGACGGCGGCTCGTCGCGTGGTTGGCGGAGGAGGAGTGATGGGGCAGCGGCCGCCGGTGCCATTTTTCTGCTTGCTGAAATTTCTCATGTTATAAGAGATATAAGAAACGCCAGTTTTGGAAATTTCGTAAATGGAAGTGGGAAAGATGAGTGTGTTCGATTTAATGATGGTTGTTGTGATTTATTTCTAACATTGCATAAGAGTCTTGATATGGAACAACGAACTTAATGAACTTTTAAACGGTATAATTAGAAAATTAGCTTAAAAAATAATTAATAAATTTTTTTGAGACAACACTGTAACAAACCCTATCGTACCGGCATGTTGTAATGTAAATATCGGATACTAAACAAGAAATTATAGGCGATTTTATCGGTAGAAAACAGGTTGAACTACGATTAAGCCACAATTTTAATTAATACAAAATCTCTTCCACCGATTTTGCTGTATAACCTCCAATATGATCATAATTGTTGAACATGATTGATTGAAGAAATCTTAACTTTTTTGTCATAGGTATTCCCAGCGAAAAAATATTATAGATACGCGAATATACAAGACTTTTGTAGGTCAGGTCACAAAATAAAATAAAGTAAAAAAATATTAATCGACAAGTGTACAACTCAACGACGAAATGACTTTTTTTCAAAAAATAGCATCCATATTATACCTTTGATGTGCGAAGTGTAAAGATTGTAGAATCTTGATGCAAACAAATCTCAGTCAAATTAGAATCGAAGAAAAATGAAAATAAGAAAGAAAGAAAAAATCAACTAACCACCCAAATACCTAAGAAGTAGGGAGCAACACACCACGAATTCCGATCAGACCAAGAACATAACTGCAATAACTATCTTAATCATTCTATCACAATAATCCATTCCAACAGAACAAATCTACAAAGGATCAAGAACTCAGCAACCAACTAAACAAATTAACAAACGGAATCTAATCACAATTAACCGCAAATGCATGCCCATGCCATTTAACCGATCAAACCATCGTTAGGACTCTCAGAACATCAAGACTTTGCCTACTTTTGATGGTTTGAGGAATTCACCTCAGGGAAAAGAGATCGAGATGCGAGAATCACGAAATGGGTGATGATCGGATATACCAGATGGTGATCAGAATAGCAGTGGCCGGCGGGGCTCTCTCTCTCTCGATCGCTGCCGCGATCTCTAAACTCGGTGGCTGAGTCACCGACTCGCTGGCTAGGGCAGAAGAGAGTGAGCCTGAGAAATGTTTTTGTCTGTATGCGTAACTGAGAGGGAGCGTGGGGGTTTTATAGAGCGTGCAGGTGTTAAGCTTTTGGAAATGTATTAATTGTCTGTAAGAGAAGGGAAAGGGGAAGGAGGAATAATGTGGGGCCCGGGCCAGGGTAACCGCCGTTCGCCGGTGGCGGGATGAGTTCTTTCTTCCCCGGGATGGGAATCGCTTCTTCTCTGCGGAAGAGAAACTGCCGTGGCAGCCGGTAAATATGGCCGTTCTCCGTCCACGAACGTGTCCATGAGGGGGAAAATAAGGCAAGAAAGTGAATAAGATAGAGATGAAACTTCACATTATTTATGCGTCAGATTCATTCATTCAAAATTTTTTTACACTTTTTTTGACCATTCTGCCCTCGTTGTTTTTATTTGGCAAAAAAATCAGTTATGGTACATGGATATTGTGGTTGTGAGCAACATAAAATTAAGGAGGCTCGGATATTAGCTATAAGATTTATTGTTGAACCTTTTTCAATAATTCGAGTTATTGAATAATTATTTTTTGTTATAATGATTGTTGATTGAAGTTGGGTTGATGTGCATACGAGATACGACAGTTCGATTGTATTCCGATAACACCATCATGATTAAGATTACAATCAATCATGTTTCATGATCGCACGAAACATGTTGAAGTTCACGTTCATTATATCCAACAGTTGGTAGCATATGGTTTTGTGGAAATAGTATATATTACTTCAGAAGATCAAACAAATTATAAAGGTCGTTACTTCTGCTCGTTATTGGTTTCTAGCACAAAAATTGATGTTCCGTCAGCACCATCAATTAGAGGGAGAGTGTTAGAAGTTAGTGTGTCAAGTATAATTAGTTGTCTGTGTATATAGTAAGTGTGATGTCATCCATGAGTTGGGGTTGTGTTTACTGTGTATATATAGGAGGGCAGTTGAGTCTGCACACCTGGAAATATAAGACACTCTCCACCTTTGTATCGTGAAATAGTCTCAACGTTCATCGTTGAGAAAACCACGTAAATCTCGTCATTGTGTGTTCTTATGTACTCAATTATGTGTTTAATTAGCATGATATCAGAGTCTTGT